TATTATTAATGGAAGTTTGACGACAGAGTTTAAAATTGAAAAAGGAACAAGACAGGGATGTCCGTTGTCCCCACTTTTATTTATTTTAACATTGGAAGTCTTGCTAAATACAATACGGGACTCAAAAATTTTGAAAGGCATAATGATAAGGCAAGAGGATTATAGAATAAAGGCATTTGCAGATGATCTGGTGGTTACCTTATCACAACCAATGGAATCAACAATCCTGATGAACGACATTATACAAGACTATGGTAGAGTTTCAGGTTTTAGAGTGAATTCAAAAAAGACTAAAATGATAGTCAAAAATATGACACAAGATCGTAAACATGAGCTTGAAAGGAGGGCAGGTTTTGAAATTGTACCTAAGGTAAAATATCTTGGAGTTCAGGTTGCAGAATCAAACATGAAATTGTTTCAAAATAACTATGAGGTGTTGTGGCGAGAGGTTCAGAAAGACATGGAGACTTGGAAAAAGCTGCAACTGTCTTTACTTGGAAGAATAGCAGCAGTTAAGATGAACATTTTGCCAAGATTTCTGTTTTTGTTTCAAATGATTCCGGTGCTTAAAAGTGATAAACAACTGAAAGTTTGGCAAACTGGACTTAATAAGTTTGTCTGGAACGACAAAAAGCCGAGAGTGAAATTGAAAATTATGCAAGATGTTCCAGAAAGAGGAGGCCTTAAACTTCCAAACCTACAGTTATATTATGATGCAGCAGCTTTAACTTTAACAAGTGATTGGTTTGGAAGTAAAAAGGCTGGAATATTGAATGCAGAAAGTTTTGATCTTGAATTTGGATGGCATGCTTACCTATTTTATGATGACAAAGTTGATAAAGTATTTAAAAGTCATATACTTAGAGACTCTTTGATGAGAGTTTGGAAGAAGCACCGACTCAAATGGGATTATAAAATACCGCTATGGCTGGATCTTGGTCATACCTTGTGGAATACAAATATAATGTCACTCGGGGGGTTTTTATACAAAGAGGTTCTTTTTACAGATGCGGGTAGATGGCAGCTGAAGACCTTGCAGACACTGTTGGACGAAGGGATTAATTTAACTTGGTTACAATATAATCAATTACAATTGAGATGGAAAGAGGACCAAAAAACTGGTATTATGTTGCATGAGGAAGAATTGGTTAGACATATAAGACAGAAAGGTCCAATGCATATTAAAAGGCTTTATAATGTTTTGCTAGAAAGGGATTCAGAAACGGAATTAGTTAAAGATTGTATGATTAAGTGGGCACAAAATTTTGAAGAACCAGTGATGTTGGAAACATGGGAAAAAATTTGGGTTCAGAATGTTAAATTTACACAGTCGCAGAATCTGAGGGAAAATTTTTATAAAATGTTTTATAGATGGCATTTAGATCCTAAAAAGCTGTCATGTATGTACCCTAATGTTCAGCCAAAATGTTGGAGATGCGAATGTTTGGATGCTACGTATTATCATGTTTGGTGGACCTGTAGGAAAGTTAAGGCTTTTTGGATAAAAATATGGTGGGTCATGCAGAATGTTTTGAAGAAAAAAATTCAATTTTCTCCACAATTGTTTTTATTGGGTATAGTTAAGGGTTTTACACGGGGTGAAATAAAATTAATATTGTATATGATAACAGCAGCAAGATTGTTGATAGGTAAATATTGGAAGAATGAAGCTTTGCCTACTATCGAGGAATGGACTTTGAAGATGGCCAGTTTTGCAGAGATGGCGAAGATTTCAGCATATTTAAAAGATTGTTCACAAGAGACTTATGAATGGGAATGGAAAAGGTGGATAGAATATGTTCAGAACAAATACCAAACTAGAAAGTACCAAATAGCTTTTATTTGAAAATAATGTATTAGAAATATCTTAATGTAAAGAGATAAAGAGGGAAGATAATATAGGGGGAGGGATGGGTTCAGGTATATATATCAGTATTATTAGTTATGAGTACATAATAGGGAAGTCTGGGGGGGAGGGTTAGGGAGGGTTAGGGAGGATGGGAAGTTTGGGGAGGGAGGTGGGGGGGTGAAAAAAGGGGTGAAAATGTAATTGTAAAACTTTTGCAATAAAAAAAAAAATTCATTTTGTTGAATAGGGTCCATTGTTCAAGTTTGTCAAGATCTTTTTGGATCCTGAGCTTGTCTTCAGGGGTGTTGGCTTTTCCTGCCAGTTTAGTGTTATCTGCAAATTGGATGAGTTCCCCATCTATTCCCTCATCTAAATCATTTATGAATATTTCGAAGAGTACAGGGCCTAAGACGGAGCCTTGTGGTACCTCACTGCTTATTTCTCTCCATGTTGATGTAGTACCATAAGGACTACTCCTTGAGTACGGTTTGTCAGCCAGGTACAAATCCATCTGGTGGTGGTTGTCTATTCCACATTTTTCTAGCTTACCAAGAAGTAGGTTGTGGTCTACATTGTCAAATGCCTCACTGAAATCTAAGTGTACTATGTCCACAGCATTTCACTGGCCTACTAACTTAGGAATGGGTCAATTTATTTTCCAAAGCACCAGAAGGCAGGATAAGAAACAATGGATGGAAACTAATCAAGGAGAGAGGCAAACTGGAATTAATGTGAAACTGAGCACAATTAACCAGTGGAATAACTTGCGACCAGAAGTTGTGGGTGCTTCATCGCTGCAGGGTTTTAAGAAAAGACTGGACAGTCAGTTGTGTCATGGTTCCAAGTAAGGAATTCATGGAAGTCAGGATTCTGATGCTTGTTCAGGTTCAAGAGATCCTTTATTGAGTTTACCATATCGGCACTTAGAAAGGTGACTCTAGCTCTGAATTATTCCCACGCTTAGGGATAGTTAAAAGAATAAGACCTCCCCACCCCTTTGTCTCTCAAGTCACATGGTCCTATCAGTTGAGATGTAGGTTCCCGCTCAACTTTAATAGATATCCGTTGAAATGACCTTGGTTCTCACACCGGCTGGTGGATGTTATGGTTAGCCATCCGAGGCACCACATTCCTGAGTCCCCCCCATACTCTCCCCCCTCCCCCTTGAATGGCAACCAAGAAATGAAACAGAAGTAAGTATGGCCTAGATGAAGAGCTGAGGTGGCACAGTGGTTAGAGTGCAGTACTGCAGGCTACTTCAACTGACTGCTAGCTGCAGTTTGGCAGTTCAAATCTTGCCAGTTCAAGGTTGACTCAGCCTTCCATCCTTCTGAGGTGGATAAAATGAGGACCCAGATTGTTGGGGGCAATATGCTGACTCTGTAAACTGCTTAGAGAGGGCTGTAAAAGTACTTTGAAGTGGTATATAAGTCTAAGTGCTATTGCTATTTCTATGGCTTCAGCTGAAGCTGTTTTAGAATAGAGTAACAGAGTTGGAAGGGACCTTCAGGGTCTTCTAGTCCAAACCCCCTGCCCAGGCAGGAGGTTGACAACTTGTCTGAGATGATGTAGGGTCTCCTGCTTGAGCTCCAAGGTCCCTTCCAGCTTTAGTCTGATTGAAATTGAAAGTCTCCGATTTTCTTTTTTCTTTTCTTTTTTTATTAAGTTTTTACAGTTAAACAATTCTTATTCATCGCTTACACATGACTGTGACCATTTTTATATCCTCCTATTAGTATTCACCTATGTTCTATACATTTATACTAATTTTACATTCTATGTAGAGTTCTATCCCCCCCTTTTTTTCTTCTATTTTCGTTCCAATTGTACCATTTCTCCCATATTACATAAAAATCTGAATCCATCAATCCTTTCAATTCAAGAGTCATTTTGTCCATTTCGGCGCAGTCCAATACTTTTTTAATTATTAAATCTTCAGAGGGTATGTTTTGACTTCTCCAACATTGTGCGAAAGCCAATCTTGCTGCAGTTATCATATGCACAATAATATATGGGTTTTTTTTTTTCATATTTCCTTTTCATTATTCCTAGAAGAAACAATTCTGGTTTATATTCTATCTTGAAGCCTGTTACTTCCTGTATCCAACTATGTACCTTCATCCAATATTTTTTAGTTTCAGAGCATAACCACCATATATGAAAGAAGGTACCTATCTTTTGTCCACATTTCCAACATTTGGGATTAAAATTTGGATATATTTTTGCCAATCTTGAGGGTGCCAATGGTAAAACATTTTATATTGATTTTCTTTATATTTTGCCGATCTGGTTAATTTATAATTTCTATTCCAAATTGCTTACCAAATTGGAATAGAAATAGAAAGAATCCTCTAATTCAATGTTGTGACCAACATTTTTTGCCCAGGCTATCATAGCTCCCTTTACTACGTATTCAGCTCTATAAAATTCTAATAAATAATTATAATTTTTAGTTATTGATTTCTCATCTGGTCCCACCAATATTTTATCCAATTGTTTTGGCTGTATTTCAATTCCATATTCATCTTTATCCTTTATAAATTGTGATTTTAATTGCAAATAAGGCCACCAGTCTATATTTATTCCCTGTTCTTCCGATTCTTGCCTACTTTTTAGATTCCCCTGATTGTCTAAGATTTCATTGTATTTGGCCATTTTGCTTATATCCAGGGTATTGGGATGAATCATTGCTTCCATCGTTGAGACCCAGCTAGGAGTTTTCATATAGTGTTCTTTCTTAATTTATTAATTAGATGTACTATCAAGAGCCTTGATAGTACAGTGGTCTACGCACCCTGTTATTAACACAGCTGCCTGCAATTTCTGCTGGTTCGAATCTCTCCAAGGCTCAAGGTTGATTCAGTCTTCCATCCTTTCTAAGGTAGGTGAAATGAGGACCCAGATTGTGGGGGAAATAAACTGACTTTGTATAAAATATACAAAAGAATGAAGGCTATTGCTTAACGCATTGTAAGCCGCCCTGAGTCTCCGGAGAAGGGCGGCATATAAATCAAATTAAAAAAAAATAATAATGTTTGCATTAAGGCTTTTCGTACTTTATGTTGAAAAGAATATAAATGAGATTTGTTCTCTCTGTCCCATAAACAGACGTGTCATCCTTTTTAAAAATCATGTCCTTCCAATACAAGTAATCTTTTATTTCTTGAATTAATCCACTCTTTAACCCAAACTAAGGTTGCTGCTTTATAATAAAGTCGCCAATCTGGGAGCCCAAGCCCACCTCTGCTTCTACTATCCTGAAGATCGTATATTTTTATTCTTGCTTTTCTCCCTGCCCATATAAATTTTGTTGTAATTTGATTCAACTCCACAAAAAAATTCTTATCCAATTTTATGGGTACTATTTGAAAAAAATATAGCAGCTTCGGTAAAATGTTCATTTTAATAGTTGTGATTCGACCTAGTAAGGATAAATGTAATGGCTCCAATCTTGCTAAATCTACTTTTATTTGTTGCATTAATTTTACATAATTGTCTTCCTTAATTGAGGAACACATCACTGTCAGCCAAATTCCTAAATGCTTAACTTTTCTCACACTCTGTAGACCTAATTCTTTCTCTAGTTCTTTTTCCTGCTGTGATACTATGAAAGTCACCAATTTTCATATAAATCAGAGATTCTTGTGCCTCATTATATTTTCCCTACAATTCAGATTGGGTTTAAGTAGGATAATGTAGCATTTGGGGAAAAAGATGCAAGCCAAGAGACCAGCCCCAGAGGCCAAGATGGAGAAGATCTCCACAGCCACCATGGACTTCCCTTTGGTGCTCAGGTAGGTGGGGAGGAATGAGATCCAAACACTGCAGAAGACCAGCATGCTGAAAGTAATGAACTTGGCTTCATTAAAGCTGTCAGGCAACTTCCTAGCCAGAAAGGCCACTGTGAAACTCATGAGGGCCAGAAACCCTAGATAGGCAAGGACAGTGTAAAACATTGTAGCTGAACCTTCATTACATTCCAAGATGGTTTCTCCTACCAAGGAATGGAAGTCCATGTTGGGAAATGGGGGAGAGGTTACCAGCCAGGTGGCACAAAGAACTGCTTGGACCAGGGGACAGGCTAAAACAATGGAGTTTGTCAGTGGTTTTCCTAAGAGTTTCTTAGTCCTGTTTCCAGGCTTGGTGGCCATGAAGGCCAGAACCACCATGACAGTTTTTGCCAACACAGAAGAAACTGCAAGAGAAAACAGAATGGCAAAGGCAGTTTGTCGGAAGAGACAGGTGAGCTTCCCAGGTTGACCGATGAAGAGGAAGGAGCAGAGGAAGCACAATAGGAGAGTGACGAGGAGGAGGTAGGTGAGATTTCTGTTGTTGGCCTTGACAATTGGTGTGTCATGATGTTGACAAAAAATTGCCAGAACTGCCAGTGTGATCATAGATAGAGAAAGAGTGAGAGAAGTCAAAGTGTATCCCAGGGTCTCTTGATAGGAAAGGAAGTGGAGCTTCTTGGCAATGCAGTGGTCCTTTTCCATGTTGGGATATTGGTCTTCTGGGCAGGGATCACAGGAAGCTGCATCTGAAATCAAGAGTCAGTTTTCATTTCATGGTGTGTCAAAAAGGGCTAATCATCCTTTACTACTGATAACCCTGAGGATACCTTAGCCTTTCAGCTCCTGGGCTCAATTTCTCTGCTTTATATTTTGCATTAACTCATTCACATTTTTTTTGGCAGAGAAAGGCAGGCAGAAATAGCTAGATCTATCTTCTCTTTCTCTAATGGGTCTTTCAGTTTCCTGGGAGACTGATAATGCTGACAGAAGAAGCAAAATAAGGAAAATTAAACCTTGAACCTCACACTCCTCTCCTTCATGAAAAGATAGGTAGCTGGATTTGCTGGTGGCTTGTAAGAGAAGGAGTAGAAAGTCTAGTGGGGAATCCATGAATTCTGCCCTGAAGCTACCTTGCATTAAATGGCTGAGGAGCAAGAAAGGTGGCTGGGGGAGGGGGAAGCACAGTTTAGATCCATGAATTCAGAGGTTCTGTTGGAAATCATGAATATTTTGAAAAATGTCAATCTACCAGAATGACAACAGTATTGATATTTGTTCCTACTTAATGGCTTCCTTGATCCTAGAAGATATAAATTTGAGATGAGCTCTACCTGTCTGACTAGAAATGGCCCCTTCTGGACAAGGGTCACATTGGTAGCAGCAAACCAGCTCTCCCTCTGGAACTCTTCTCCTCTCTCCTGCCTGACACCTCTTTGTGCCACACCTGGCAAAGGGCACCTTCTAAGAGAGAAAAAGAGAAATGCTTGAGATGGCCTCAGCAATGAATATGCTTCATTTATTCATTTGTGCATTTCTGTATCCATCTTAAGGAATGGTTCAACAGGGTGTCCAGGAACATATTTGAGGGAAATAAAACCAGTGCCTCTCCCTACCCACCAATGGAGGTCGAGATAGGAATGGGGAACGTGGCATGCAAGGGAAGGCTAGTGAAACTGGGACCCACCTTTCCTAAAACAAAGAATCATGACAATTCAACTATGCATGAATGGTGCATGGAAATTACTGCTGTCTTCCCTAATTGCATTCTGGGGTTTTAGCAGAAGTTTTTCCCAAACCCAACTCTTTGAGTCCTCAAATGTTTTACATACATTTCGTCAAGTGGTTACCACATTTTCTGATTCAATAGACCTATTTTCCATTTAGAAAGACGGTCTGCATGTCTTCTAGTCCAACCCCCTGCTCAACCAGGAGACCCGGTACTATTTCAGACAAATGGGTGACTAGACTCTTTCTAAAAGCCGCCAGTGATGAAGCACCACAAGAGCAGCCATTCCACTGGTTTAATTCAAATTCTTTTCTATATTGATCATTTTGTCATTTTTACACTGCCTGGAATTGCCTTATAGGTGACATTGGTGACATATAATATATAAAATAGGTGTATCTACCACAAATGAGACCTCAAATCCATTGCATTCAAAGCAGGTTTTTCATGAAATATCAGATACATTTTTTGATTCGGTAGACCTGTTTTCTAGTTAGAAGGATTTTGGATACCCCAGGAGAGAATGAACCTTTCTTTGAATTTACAAGTTTTCTTTCCAACTCACCTTTGTAGCCCAGATGATAGCATCGGAATTAATGGTGAAATCCTGACCTGGGGGAGCCCCAGGATCTATTTGTCCAACTTTCACGGGGACAAAAGATCGATTGGGCAGGAGAACCCAGTTGAGAAGATCATAACCACCAGATCCCAGTCCATTTTCTGAGAAGGAGATTTCATCCCCAGCACTGTTGTTGAATTGGACTTTTCTCAAATAGGGAAGAATCTGAAAGAAACGAGACCTTCAGGCATTGGAATACTTGGCTGGAAGCCACAAATGAGACATCATGGGCTTCTATCATTCTGTGATGGCCATCATCTTAGCAGATGGTTGTATATCTGAGAAGCTAGAGGATTTCCCTTCATGGTGATCTCAGCAATCAAGGATAACACCAAATATGTCGTTCATTTCCCAATACCACAAATGATTCTCTTTATCATTGGTCATTTCTATCATGGCTTCTTCAACTCTAGTTTTATCAAATGATTCCTACATACAAATATCTTAATTCCACATTTAGAATTTCATACTGAAGGAAACTGAGGTGGTTCTGCAAATGTGCCCACTAGGACTTCAAGTAACCTGTTGAAGCACCCAGATTTTGATCTTGCTCAGAGCTGACACCTCCTGCATGGACTTGTCACCCTCTCAAACACAGGTAACCATTGAAGAACATTCAGGACCTTATAGGAACATTTTCATCTAGAAAACTTATGAACAACTGGTTTTGTTTATTTTTCCCTTCCCCTCTTCTACCCCCTTTCAACGAAACCTTAGATTTCATTTATATTATTGTTTTAATAACTGCTCTCTTAAACTGTTCTGAAATTCATGCATAAGCAAACATATCACAATTGCAAATACAAATTCAATTACATATTACAATTACAAATCAGTAATTCAGGAGATGCACGTGGGAAGATTCCTCTCTAAGGATGTGTAGATTGGATAGAAAGTCCTATAGATTACCTGCCATGATTGGACATTTGAGATCCTGTTTCCGAGCCTCAACTTAGTTGGTCGCCCTCCTGATCCATCCATTGCATGTAACGCATGTGCCACAGCATAAGCAGCATTGTGGATGTTGTAACTTTCACCTGTCATGCCTGTTTCAAACACGTAAGTTGGCACATTCCGTAAATTCTCCATTCCTGTACATTGTTTTCCCTGTACATTCCCATTCCTAGGTATCTGGGGGAACTTGCAGTCAAAAACTGATTCCCACCATAATGGGAGAAAAGTGTCCCCTTGTGGGTTCAATGGGTCTAAAGACAGGAGGAAATGACTGAATTCTGGGACATCAGCCGTGCGATCCCTAAAATGCAGAGCCCCATGGAAGCGCTTGATATCTTTCAGGATAGGATGAGGTCCTATCTCATTAACTTTCCAATGGGAAGTGAAGATCCAAACTTTCAAAAATGGTTTCTTTTTCAAATATTCATGAAAATACAATGCTGTCAGTACATTTGCAATAACATGGAAGTCTCCAAATAGAATAATAATTTCAGCGCTAGACAAAGTTTTGATAAGATAAAGCGTTTTCCATTTTGTTAAAGCATTAAAATTAAATGTGTACTTCTCAGTGAAGGCCAGGCAGATCTCCTTCTCTTTCAGCATTGGCAAGATAGATGAGATGAAATGTTCTCCATCGTCATCATCAGGGGCCACCAGCCCAACCCAGTTCCACTGGAAATACAGGAGCAGCTGGACTAAACCCTCATACTGAGCAAATTCATTGGGATTAATCCGGAAGAAGGAAGGATAAAGTCTTCGGTCTCCCTGAGTGAACTCAAAGCCAACACCGAGCTGAAAAAAGTGAGAATCTTCTTTGAAGGACAAACTAATGTTTTGTGCTCACCTTAGGGGTCATCACTGTGCGATTGATTGCCCTACAACCAGACGACTCACTTTAAGAGAAAAGCTGAAGCTTCTTCCCATAATTTCATATTTTGCTTGGTTGTAAGAGGTGAGATGCCAAGGGAATAAACTATCAACCTGATACAGAGAATAAACTGCATTGGATGGATTGGTAAAATTTAACGAAGAGTAAATTAGGGAGGAATTCCTCTTGGCAAGTACAGCATTTCAGAATCATCTCATTATCTCTTTGGAGCTATATGAATAAAAATATATATATATATAAATTGAGTTCAACTGTATCATGAATTCTCTAAAACACCGAGTCCTGATATAACTGTGCTAAACACCTCTAGTTCCATCTTTGGCTTCAGTTGTGCTTCTGGTATTTGTCTACTGCATAAGTCTATCTAAAGGAGCCTCCTTACCTGTGGGACCTTGAAGAGGTTGAAGATGGAGGCCATCCGCCTTGAGGATTTGGGGTTGTCACCTCCAATGACAGAGAGCAGAGGGTCCTGCCTGTCACATTTGTAACCTGGAACCAATTGGCCTCGTGTGGAGAGCAGCATGAGACTGGTTATGGAAATCTTCATCTCAATCTGGTGGTTGTCATAGATTTCCATGTCAAGGGTGATGTTGGGCAGGAGATGCAGATCCTTGTTGATCTCTCTGACTGCAAACACCAAAGCCATGAAGTGTTGGTAATTCTTGGGTATGCGTCTACAGTGAGAAAAACCTTGGACATCATTGCAGCAATGTGTGAGATGGAGTTTGCCTTGCCCCCTTTTTGGTATTTTCCATGGAACAGCAAGTCCAAAGTACAAATGAGGTTTTTTTTAAGGTTGTTCCTTCGTTAAATTTGAACACCTTTGTCAGAAAGAAGAAAAAGCCTATCCCTCCATATCATGGACCATTATATACCCCTCTATTGTTCTCTCCTTCTAGACTTTGCTCAAGTGAATGTCATCCTTCTTAACTCTTCCTCCAGCACCAGAATTAATTCCAGCCTCTCTTTGAGCATCTAGTTCAGCTCTGCTAAGCATTGCTCAGCACAAGACTCCAACTGGGGTCACAGCATCCGTTTCTTGAAGGCCATCAGTCCTGAGCACTGCTGATTCCAAAACTGAGCTCGGTTTTTGTTTTTTCTTGTATCCCATACTGAAAAAGGATAGACCTTTTATCTGAGTTTTCCACTATAAATTTCTGTCCAAATTAATATTATAAATCAACTTCTTCACTACGCCAGCACAGTTTCTAAGGTGCCAATAAAGGAGAATATTTGTTGCTCAGGGTTGAACTGAAAGGTCCTTGATGCTCTCAGAGTTTGGTTGTTTTCTTGCTGATGTTTCATTACCCAAATTAGGTCACATTATTTGGGTGTTACCTAGTTTTGGTGATGAAATGTTTGCAAGGAAACAAGAAAGCTCAGAGAACACCAAGGATGCCTCAGCTTCTAAAGTGTTTTCCCTCCTCACATTTAAGTTGCTTAGCATCTTCCTGATGGAGAGTTGTGGAAAGACGGAGAAGTTTGCCTCTTCATTGAGAAAAGCAAAGATTTGAACTATAGTAGGAGATTGCAAGTATCACTAGAACAAACATTTCTAAAAGGAGTCCCTGAACCAAAAACAAACCAAAGAATTCTTAGAAAACTTACAAAATCTTGATAGAAATGTGATATGGGTTTTTTTGAAAGTCTGGGAGACTGGATGAAACCAAAGTTGCCAGGAGCAAATTTCCACCAATAATGAAATCACCAGACTTGAAATAATACCATTTTTCGTCAATCCGGGAAGGATTTGACAACACACATTTGATCCTCTTAGCAGAAGTTGGAGGCAGGAGCCCGAAGAGCAGCAGCAGCAGGAGGAGGAGAGGCAGCCCAGACATTCTTCTTCTCACCTTCCCTCCAAGATCAAAAATCGAGGTTTGTGCAGCAGCTGAAGTACAGGTAGCCCTTGAAATCACACCCAAATTTCTTCACCATAGAGCAAGAGAAAGACGATGCCACCTGGATGATCCCAGGGCAAATTTATATCATTCCCCTTACCTATCCTTGGATTCTGATCAAAGAGAAAACCAAGACCAGGTGAGTCTCACCAAAGCCAGGAGTTGCCTTTTCAGGAGGAGGAAACTCAGAGCATATTTGTAAAAGCTTATTTTACCTCAGAATATTTTTCTGGGTTGAAATCCATGGGGGATACATTTAGAATGACTGTTATTCTGATAATTGCAGGGAAGACCAATATCTTACCCACTTAGCAATAGCTTCTCTTCATACATCAGAAGTCTGTTGTTGATCCAAGGAGCAGGTGGACTTGAGGGTCAAGGTTCAGGTGGAATTTGGCCTACCTGCAACTGAGCCCCTGAACCCAAGATGGAGTCTGACCCATAGTTTGTTTGGATAGCATGAATGAAGTAGGGTGGCACATGACAATCAGTTGTCCCCTAGTAAGTGTGAACAATCGTAACAACATCTGGATAAAATGCATGGTTTATTTAAACCCCCATGAAATAAGAAACCAACTTCTACCATAGATCTTTAAAATAGATGTCAAAGGTATTAGGCTAATTTAAACTCTGCAGGCGAGCTGTCTAACAATTCCTTGGAGCCAGAAAAGTTTGTTTGGTGTGTTTATCTTGTGAAGTGTGTCTTCTGAGTTGTCAATTGGTGTGAAAGGATTCCATCTCCCATGGCAAAACCCTGGGATGGTTTTGGGGTTATAGGAATGGGTGCATGGGGCTATGTTCTTCTCTCCTTCCTCTGAAGCTGATTCCAGCCAGTGCTGGTTATGGGGAAGAGAACGAGTTCAGACCATTGGTGTATTAGGATGATTAGGGAATATGGCCAGGACTGCAGATGTCCTCCTACAGAGAGAAAAAGGACAAGAGAAGCTAAAGTGTATCCCAGAGTATCTTGATAGGCAAGAAAATGGACCTTCTTGCAATGCTCTGGTCATTGTCCTTGTTGGGATATTGGTCTTCTGTGTAGAAGTCACAGAGAGCTGCAACTGAAGTTCAGACCCTTTTTGAAGTGTTTCAGACATCTGCACTTTGCAAGATCCTTCAATGAGATGTCTCAATGTGATGTGAATGTTCCTTTTCTGCAATAGCCAATTCACAAAAAGTGATGGAGTGACCCTTATATGCGCAGCTTATGGTATCCTAAAGAGTGTGAATAGTGCAAAGAAGTGAAGTAGTCAAGATTTCATCTACTTGCCGCCCAGAGTCCCTTGGGAGTTGGGTGGCATAGAAATGCGATAAATAAAATAAAATAAATTAAATTACTTCCTTAGGATGTTGAATGGGAGCTACGATCTCAGTTTGTGTTATGACCCAAGTTATGTGAACAAGGCAGGTCTTTATTTATTTATTTTATTTTATTTATTTTATTTGTCAAGAACGTATTTGATAATAAATATACGCATGGATTGGATACATAAAATAGGTACAAATAGAAGAAACATTATTTATTTATTTATTTATTTGATTTGATTTTTATATCGCCCTTCTCCAAGGTAAAACATAGCATACAAAATTTAAAACAATTTAAAAAGATATTAAATAATTTCGGCCCACAATTTAAAAACACCCCAATAAAATCAATTACAAATTAAAACTGAAAGACAGGATCAAGCCAGCCCGGCTAGATGAAATAAGTGAGTTTTAAGGGCCTGACGAAAAGTCCGGAGGTCCAGGATCATACGTATCTCTGGGGGTAGGTCGTTCCAGAGGGCAGATGCCGCCACAGAGAAGGCTCTCCCGCTGGGGGTCTCCAGCCGACATTGTCTGGCTGACGGCACTCTGAGGAGCCCCTCTCTGTGCAAGCGTACTGGCCGGTGGGAGGCTATTGGCCGTAGAAGGCGGTCTCATAGATACCCAGGCCCTAAGCCTTCTGGAGCGCTTTAAAGGTAGTCACCAACACTGTGAAGCGCACCCAGAAGATCACTGGAAGCCAGTGCAGCTCGCACAGGAGGGGTGTCACATGGGACGGCTGCATTCTGGACCAGTTGGAGCCTCTGGGTGCACCTCAAGGGGAGCCCCATGTAGAGAGCATTGCACTAGTCCAGGTGGGAAGTGATGAGTGCTTGAGTGACTGTGTGTAAGGAGTCCTGATCCAGAAAGGGTCGCAACTGGCGTATCAGGCGAACCTGATAAAAAGCCCCCCTGGCCACGGCCGTCATATGCTCTTCTAAAGACAGACGTGCATCCAGGAGGACACCCAAGTTGTGAGCCCTCTCCGTGGGGGCCAATGACTCGCCCCCAATAACCAGCGATGGCACCAGCTGGCTATATCGGGACGCCGGAAGCCACAGCCACTCGGTCTTGGAAGGGTTGAGACGAAGCCTGTTACTCCCCATCCAGACCCGCACGGTCAAGTCGAAGGAGCGGTCAGACCATGACAAGGGTTCAATGACTATATCCCCTGTATCAAAGCCACTCAATCACAGACCAGAGACAAAAACTAAGTCCAGAGTGTGCCCGCCCATGTGATAGGGCCATGAATTAACTGAGTAAGGTCCATGGCCGTCATGGAAGCCATGAACTCCCGAGCCACCTCAGACATTTCACTGATAGATGGCAGGTTAAAATCCCCCATGACCAAAAGCCTGGGGGTATCGACCGCCACCCCGGCTATGATGTTGAGCAGCTCGGGCAGGGCTGTTGCCACGTGGCAGGGAGCCAGGTACATGATCAACAGGCCCATCTGCACCCAATGGCCCCACTTCACAAAAAGGGACTCACATCCGGCTATCTGCAGTACAGTGGTCTCCCTCGGATCAAGATCTTCCTTTATAATAACCGCCACCCCCCCACCCCTACCCTGAGCTCTCAGCTGATGGAATGCACGGAAGCCTTATGGGCACATATCCACGAGGGGAAGCCCCCTCCTGGCCCAACCAGGTCTCTGTAATACCTGCCAGGTCCGCTCCCCCCTCCTGAATAAGATCGCAAATGAGGGGGGCTTTATTTACCACGGACCTGGCATTGCACAACAACAGCCGAAGGCTCAGACCCTGAGAGTCTGTGCAACCTGGGGAACGGGAAGAGCTTTATTAGGACAGGGACGGAAGGCACGCTGGTGCTCTTATGCAGGCCCCTTACAGACCTCTTAGGAATGGGATGAGGTCAACAGTAGACAATCTTAGGTTAAAATTTGGGGGGTTTTGGGATGAAACCACAGAGTCAGGTAGGGTATTCCAGGCATTGAACACTCTGTTGCTGAAGTCATATTTTCTACAATCGAGTTTGTTGCAGTTTACCTTAAGTTTGTATCTATTGTGTGCTCGTGTATTGTTGTACTTGAAGCTGAAGTAGTCATTGACAGGTAGGACATTGTAGCAGATAATTTTGTGAGCTACGCTTAGGTCAGACCAAAGGCAGCGTAGTTCTAAGTTTTCTAAACCCAGAATTTCAAGTCCGGTGGCATAAGGTATTTTGTTGTGAGCGGAGGACTCTTCTTGTGAAATATTTCTGAACACTTGTATTAATTGTATTAATGTCCAATATGCAGTGCAGGTTCCAGTCAGATGAGCTGTATTTGAGAATTGGTCTAGCAAATATTTTGTATGCTCTGGTTAGTAGTGTGATATTACCAGAGAAGAAGCTACGCAAGATTAGGTTTACTACCCTTAATGCATTTTTGGCAATGTTGTTAAAGTAGGCTTTGGCACTTAGATCATTAGATATGAGT